GGTTTGAATTCCACTTGGCCTACAAAGAGGATAGCTACTTCTGCTTTTTTTCGGGTTCCTATTGCATGAAGTATTGTTTTCCACCCTTTAACTTTCAGTCTATGAGTTTCTTTTTGAATTAAGTGTGTTTCTTCTATGGAGCATATTGCTGGATCTTGCTTCTTGACCCATTCTGCCACTCTGTTTCTTTTGATTGGTGAATTGAGACCATTAACATTTATGTTTATAACTCATACATATTGACTTATCCTTGTCATGACTTTTTCTTTTTGTTGGATTATCCCCCTTTGTGTTTAATTTCTTGTTGTACTTGATGGATTCATTTTGCTGGGCTTCTGGGGGTTGTGATCCTCATTGTCTTTTTCTAGGATGTTGTTTAAAATTTTTTGGAGTGCTGGTTTGGTATTCGTGAAGTTCCTAAGGTGCTCTTTGTCATGAAAGTATTCTATTTCTCCATCAATTTTGAAACATAATTTTGCAGGGTACATCAATCTGGGTTGGAAGTTGTTTTCCTTTAGGGGTTGAAATATGTTACCCCAAGCTCTTCTTGCCTTGAGGGTTTGTATTGAGAAGTCTTCTGTGATTCTGATGGGCTTTCCTCTGTATGTGATTTGTTTCTTTTCTCTCACTGCTTGTAGAATTTTGTTCTTCCATTGAGTTTCTGGAATCCTAAGTATTATATGCCTAGGTGTAGATTTTTTGAACATGGCTAGTTGGAGTCCTATATGCCTCACTTATCTGTATGTCAAGTTCTTTCCCCTGCTTGGGAAGTTTTCTGTGATCACATCTGTGAACAGTTTTTTTATGTTGTCTGCACTCTCTCCTGTTTCTTCACTGACTCTTATCAGACTTATGTTATTTTTCTTTACATTGTCTAGCAGCTGCTGGATTGATTTCTTGTGATCCTTTACTATTTTTAAGACTTTTTTTCCTGGTCCCTAACTGCAATCCTATCTTCTATATCTGAAATTCTGTCCTCACATTGGCTCCTTCTGCTGTGTAAACCTTCATTGGAGTTTTTAATCTCCAGGAAATCTGTTTGCATCTGTTTTATGGATTCCATTTACTTCCTATGTTGAGATTCCGTCATGTTCCTCAGCTCCTCTATTTTTTATCTGTGTCCTCTCTAGATTTATTAATCATGTCTTGCACCATGGGCACAATCTCTGCTGTTATCTGAGAAATTATTTCTGATTTCATTTTTTCCAGATCCTCTTTTGTTGCCCGTTCAGGGAGTCCAGGTGGTTGAGTATCAGAGTGTTCCATCTGGTTGCACCTTGGGGCTACCTTAGGTGATGTAGAAGTCTGGTTTTGAGATGTGTTTATGTGTTTTCTCATTTCAGCAGATGCAGCCTGTTGTGCCTTTGTTGAAGTGACTTTTTACTTGCCCAGTGGGCTTCAATTCTCAGCCAGCCTCAGAGAGTTCTTCTCCCTGCTGCTCATCATTCTTCCAATTCCTGGGTTCAGAATGGTGGTCTTCTGGATCCCTGTGTTGCCCGGTTGTCCAGGCGGGATTCTGGCTGGGGCCTGTGCACACTTGGGATGGTATCTGGGTGTGCCTCTGGCCGGGACCTGCCCCTCATACCTGTTGTCTGGGATGGCCTTTGGCTGGGAGCTGTGCACCTGAGTTGGTGTTGTCTTAGGGGGCTTCTAGCTGTGGTCTGCCTGCATTTACCTTGGCCTCTGTGCCCATTTACCTCATTTACCATTTACCTGGGCCTCTGTGCCCAAGCTTCTGTGGTCAGGTCAGGCCCTGGCTGGATCTGCCTGCAGCTGGACCCCTTTGGTCTACACCATTGCTCGCAGGGATCTGGGTGCACTTACTGATGGTATTGGAGCGGGCCTGCGATGTGATATTTTAATACATGTGTACATTTTGTAATGTTTAACTGAGGTAACTATCATATTCATCACTTCACTTTGTATTTATCATTTCTTTGTTGTGAAAGCACTCAAAATCCTCTTTTCTAACTATTTAAAATAGACAATGCATTATTGTTTAATGTAGATACCCCGCTGTGCAAAAGAACACTGCAGTTTATTTCTTGTAACTGTCAATCCCACCAACTGACCAACCTCTCCTCCCCACTTAGTTATCCTCCCCAGCCTCTGATAACCATTATTCTACTCCCTGCCTGTATCAAGTCAACTTTTTCACATTCTACCTATGAGTGAAAACATGTGGTATTCTGAGCCTAGCATACTTCACTTAACATTATGTCCTGTAGGTTTGCCAATGTCAGCACAAATGAATGACAGGACTTCATTCTTTTTTATTGGGGAATAGTGTATATATTCATCCATTGATGAACACCCAGATTGTTTCTGTTTCTTAGCCATTGTGGATACTGCTATAATAAATATAGAGATGCAGGCATCTCTTCCATGTACTGATCTCATTCTGTTTGGATATACACCCTGTAGTGGGATTGGATCATATATGATAGTTCTATTTTATGTTTTTGGAGGAACCTCCATACTGTTTTCTATACTGGGTGTACTAACTTACATTCCCACCAACAGTATGTAAAGGTTCCCTTTTCCCTACATCCTCACCAAAACTTGTTAATTTTTTGTCTTCTTGATAATAGTCATCTGGTTTAGAATGAGGTAGTATTTTATTGTGATTTTGATTAGTGATGTCGAGCATTTATCATAAATCTGCTGTTCACTCATATGCCATTTTTTGAGAAATGTCTATTCACTATTTTGTTCTTTATACATTTTTCACTATACTTTTTATATACTACTTTTTCACTATTTAGTTCTTTATAAATTTTTGATATTAACTTTTTGTCAGATGTGTAGTTTGGAAATATTTTCTCCCATTCTGCAGGTTGCCACTTTACTCTGTTGACTTTGTTTCCTTTGCTGTGCAGAAGCCTTTTAGTATGATGTGATACCATCTGTCTACTTTTGCTTTTGATGCCTATGTTTTTGAGGACTTATCTAAAATATCTGTGCCAAGACCAATGTCATGAAGTGCTTCTTCTGTTTCCTTCTAGTAGTTTTATACTTTTTGTATTTAATCCATTTTAGTTGACTTTTGTAAGCATTGAAAGGTATGTGTGTAGCTACATTTTCCTTTATGTATCTAGTTCTATCCTATCTAGTTCTCATGACACTGTTGAAAAGTATGTCCTTTCTCAAATGTGTATTCTTGTCACCTTTGTTGACAATCAATTGGCTATAAATGTCATTTTTGGCCTGCTTAGTGTGTTCCGTATGTCTGTATACCTGTTTTTATGCTCTTTGGTTACTATAACTTTGTAATCTATTTGAAATCTGGTAGTGTGATGTCTCCAGCTTTGTTTTCTAAGATTGCTTTGGCTATTTTGGACTTCTTGTGATTTCATATGATTTTTAGAGGGTTTTAAAAATATTTCTGTGGAAAATGTCTGGTATTTTGATAGGGTGTACATTGAATTTGTAAATCATTTTAGGTAATATGGGCTAAGTGAGGTTTTTCAGTGTATGGTGAATAGTTTTCAAGGGATTTATAGTACTATCTGAGATCATAAATTAAAATTTTTTTTATTTAAAAAAAGACCACCAGTGACATAGCACTAAATGTATTTTTAATCATGGTGTTTTGTCATTGAAGAGTTATATTACCTTAAAAATTGTCCTATGTTTTAATCACTTTAGAAACATATTCCTCTGCCATTTGTTAAAAGTACAATTTATTTAAAGTTCTGTATGTTTCAGAAACTGGACATAATTTTAATTTTAGCGAGCACAATAAAAGATACAGAATTATCCTCTATATCTTCTCATGAGAAAAGTATTTAGATATTTCTTAAAGAAAAAAAATTTGTTGAAATGAAGTTGTCAAATTCATATTTTGAATAAATACCTTTTTTGCCTCTCTGAATCAAAAAACACTGTAAATGAGTCTCTGTGAACTGAATAGATTCAAGGTAATGCAGAAAGAAAAAGAAATAAAGAGAGAGTCAGAGTAGGTGTGCCCTTTCCTGTCCATGGCTGTGCTCTGAAACCTTGCTGTTCTTCTCTCAGAATGGACTCAATGCGCTCCATCTGGCGGCCAAGGAAGGCCACGTGGGCCTGGTGCAGGAGCTACTGGGAAGAGGCTCTGCTGTGGATTCTGCCACCAAGGTAACGTTCTTGCCGCCGCAAGTGGTTTTCCATAGAAAGGAGGAATTGACTGAAAGCTTCTTTTCTCAGGCATGCATTCCAGGGGTTTGCTGGACACCAAAATTCCTGCCACACAGGACTAAAACTGGAACCCCTCCACTAAACTTTGCAGAGTTTGAATTGTTTTAAGAACTTATGAGACAGGAGTCAGAAGAAATCTGTAAACCTAGTTTTTAATACATTATCTTTCTTCTTCTGATTCACAAAGACGACTAGATTAACATATTCCCTTGTAGATAACAGCAGCTAATTTCCTAAGGTCAATTCATTTTTAATTAACAAATTGATATAGTTACTTCTCAGTGAGAATGAATAATTAATTTTCATGCTTCACTTAAATTGATAAATCTTTCTAATGTGTTCATTGTACTTGGTATGAGAATATTTGAAATCTTTTATACTCTAATGGAAAAGAGCTTTTTGGTAATTGATTGAATTATTAGGTTAAGAATAAGATGTTACCACTATTAGGTGTGTTTGTAAGGAATTTAAACTTGTTTGTAAACACACTTGGTATAACTAGAAACTGTTGGTCTCTTGTTGATGTTCTTTTGCTATAATGTATTTGAATTTGTTTGAGATTTAATAAACAACGGACTTTTTTTTTTTTTTGGTACCAGAGATTGAACTCTGGTCCTTGCGCTTGCACAGCAGGTGGCAAAACCACTGAGCTAAATCCCCAGCCCAACAACAGACTTTTTAGAGAAATCACCAATACATTGGCTATAATACAGTAGCCAGCCAGTGCCAAGTCTGCTGGTCAGGGTTGGAGGGTCACAATATGTGGGAGAAGCAGAGGGAAGTTAGATACTCAAGCCTGTGGCTGGGGAATTAGTCTCATCCGGTGGACAAAAAGAGTTTGGGAATCATTAGAAATACAGCCTGTTAACCTGGATTTCTAACATCTTGATTCCTAATTACCAAAATGTGCAATTGGTCGTGCTTATAATATAATAAAGAGAAACTCTCATAGAAATTTAAAGACAAAAGCTAACAAACCACTCTCTGGAAATTCTAAATAAGTTAGAATATAAGTTCATTTTATGCTATAAATTCTTTGCTTTGAACATAAAGAGAGAATAAATATTTTAGTTAATGTTTCTCTTGAGCACATCAAATAAATGTTGAACAAGTGTGTGTAAAATATTGCTTTGAATGTAGATCAAATTCTTTGTCTCCTCTGAGTTGCCCACATTCACATAATATATTCATTAAGTTAACCACTTTTGTTTGCTTAAGTGTTTATTATTGTTCTTGTTTTTCTTTTCCTTTAAAATCTAGAACTAGAAACTGAACCTTATGCCTTAGAATTTACACATTTATTTTTAAATTTTTTGTTATTTTAATCATATCACATAGTTTTTAATCGATTGGCCTACATTTTATTTTCAAAAAGGTTTAAATAATTTTTCATTGGTAATTGGTTGTGAATGGTAAATTTGATGTAGCAAATGGTAAAAATCATTGGTAAGGTTATGATTGATATAAAATGTTTCTTCATTCCCAAAATATTTTCAGGAACAACCATATGGCTTTGTAGAAGGAAGCACAACTCTGAGCAAAGACCGCTTCTCTGTTGTTGAGAATTCCTAGGGTTTTTTGCAAAGTGAATTAAACTTGATGTTTCGGTAAACTTTTGTAAAGTTAATAGTCCCTTGCAGTAGGACTTCTGGTTCCTATGAATTCCATGAGATACTATCACTTATGCACATTCATGCATACATATCCCAGCTTTTTTGATTCATTAAGAACTCAGTCTTTCTATGTTCTTAACACTAGACCAGAATAATCAAAGATAATAAAAAGAAAGACATTATATGAGATGACCATTTCTTGATGGTTAAAAAAAAATCGCTTATTTTGTTGGCTGCTAGCTTCATGAAATGATATATTTGAATCAGTTGCAAAGTTTTAAAATGCCTGCACACTTTGATTTCTACAAAATTTGAAAACCTCTAACATTTTTTGTTTTGTTTCCTCAAAGCAGAAAGGCAATACTGCCCTTCATATAGCATCCTTGGCTGGGCAAGCAGAAGTTGTCAAAATCCTTGTTAAGGAAGGAGCCAATATTAATGCACAGTCTCAGGTAGGATTTAGATTTTCTGCATGCATTTAAATTAGAATGAATTTTTAAAGCTGACTTCATGGGTGTAGTGAGCTGCTGAAAAGATAAGTTTAGTACAAATGCTTCTTTTACTTATTTTAACCAGATTATTTTATTAACTCATGTAATTGAATTTCTTATTTTTTGAGATATTATAATCTGCTTTTTAATATACCTGAACACTTCACAAATGCAAGTCTGTCATCATTAAGTATTTAAAAAAGAACATTAAGTGATTTTTTTCAGAATAACAGTGACATCTGTGAAATATGAATTATTCATGCAAGTTCTGTGTTGCTCTATGAAAGTATTTTTTATCCTTAAATTTTAAAGATTCCCCAAACATTAGCATTATAGAAGGGAAAGCTGCTATAAAACAAGAATCATACAATTTTACACCCCAAATGTGGGCTTTACTAAAATGGTAAGGCATATGAGCAAATTCCACCCCATGCCCTTATTATACACATAATAATAAATAGGAAATGGAAATACATGGTCTTAATGAAATTAAGAAAATAATTAAAAACAATTATTTAATAAAAATTATACCATAAAGTTGACTCCTATTTTTTCCCTAGTACATAGGGGAAGAAAAATATTTTGCCCAAAGCTTTTCTCTTGATATCAATAATATGTATAAGAATTGAGGTCTACATCTTTCTAATAAAATCTATTCCTTTAGTATGCATGAGACCCTGGGTTTGATTGCTAGCACCAAAACAACAATAAAAACCATTCCTTCCAATTCTTCAGGTTTTTCTCTTTAGCCTTTTGTGTCACACAGGCTACAGCATGCAGATATTGGCAAATTCCGCCAGCTCTTTCCTGGCATTTTTTGGGATACGTTCATCCAGTTGCCTCTGTGATGAAATATCTGTCACCTGTCTTGTTCACTTCTTTATCACATACATGTAGCTCTTATTGTGTAGAGGTCCTAAGTTCCAGACCCAGAAACCCTAAAGGCAAAGATAGAATCAGCCTAACTTTCTTTCATTTTTTCATAAAGGAAAATCTGATGAAATTATGACAAGACATTATCCCTTTTCACCTTTGTAATACCGTACTGTTTTAATTAATCACATTTTCTTTCTATCATCCAAACCTTTCATTAAATACACACCAGTATGTTGATGTGAATTAAAAATATACTTTAAAACCTTCATTAACTAAAAATTTTAAAATGTTGGTACTATTCGTAGAGAACACTTGTATGTTCTCTAAGGTATAATAGGGTTTCACACTTGTTGACAAAGGGTTCTACAAAATCTACACCAGAATGAGAAATAGAAACTTGTGTTTAGAGCCACAGCCCATCCTTTCGCATTAGAGCAGAGAGTCTCAAACCTTATTTGGCATCGTGGTCACCTGCAGGGCTGCATGAAACACATTTTCAGGACCCACGCCAGAGCTTCTGAGGTGGAACCTGAGGATTTTTATTTTGCACAAGTTATCAGATAATGCTGACTCCAGAGGCTGGGAACCACAGTTGGAAAATGACTGCTTTATAAAATGCAAGAGAAAACTGTGTGTAAGATGTTGCAGTACGTTTACTAAGTGTAGCTTTAACTAAAGAGCTGAATCAATAGTGCACTTCCAAAGCATGGAAATAAAAGCTAGTTAAGCTCAATTGCTCATGAGTGGTTTCTCCTTTGACAGGAAATTCATATACACCTTGGTGCCATTAATATCTATAAAAAGAGCGAGGTTGTATTTCTCAAAATGATGACTTGAACATAGTGATGTCATAAAAGTTAACAAGTGGCAAAGTAAATGCAATGTTAAAAGCTATGATATCAGCTATTACATGGTGGTTACAGAAAATTTATATGCTTTGGAGACTACTGAAAGAGAATAAGTTAAACCATCATATCTTAATTTCCTTCCAGAGTCAATGATCCTTTTCTTTATTGTCATAATTATGCCAGATTATAAAAGGTGTTAAAAGATTTAGGTCTTCATTGAAATTAAAATAATCTTAACTTGTGCTATCTACCATTAGCTCAATTTAAGATTTACGTTGTAGGCAATCTTGACAGATTGCTTCAAGCTGATTTTTATATTGTGAGAAAGTTTTTGAGCGAGAAAAACTCATCAAATTTTAAAATGATTTTGCAAATGCCTAAATCATTTGAAAAGCCCTGTGATACTGTTTGCTGTATTGAATTTAGGTAATTATCACTATTAGTTGACAAAATTATTATGACATGAAATATTTTTAAATTCAGTGTTTGCAATTAAAATAGTTCTGTAAATTGGTTTATTATTTTGCTATTTTATGTGACTTAATTGTAGAATGTACAGTTTTAGGGCCATTGAGGGCTGATGTGAGTCTTTTCACATATTTGATTCCCCTCAGTCATATCTTATTTAGAAACAGACTTCTTCATGTGACAAACATTCAGTGTCCCTTGGATGGGTGGGGGCATGCTCATGGCAGGTGGACAGTCACTTTCTTCTGAGAACCACAAGAAGAATGTAGCAATCTCAGATACACAATATAAATTGTGAGTTTTATATTCAAATTATCCCTTCCTCTACATCTTTCTAAGAACAAAATATGAGGCACTGAAATGTAGAATAATCTGAAATTATACCAACGCTCGTGGCCGCATACTACTTTGCCTTGAACGAACATCTGAATTTCTTGGAAATGGGTCACTAAAGCTAGTAAGAAAGCAAAACCGCACTGAGAATTTCAAAGGAGTAAATATTCAGGAAAATTTTGCAGCTATGTTATGGAAAACACATTTATAGATTTCTGTGCATTCTCTGCATAAATTATGAGATACCTCTATATGTGTTAAAGAAAAAAATTATTCAGTGAAAGTTGTTAAACCACAGTAAGGAGGGCTGGGGATTTAGCTCAGTGGTTCCACCATCTGCCTCACAAGTGTAAGGTCCCAAGTTCAATCCCCAATACCAAAAAAAACCCACAGTAAGGAAGGCTAATTGAGGAGCACTGTGGTAGGTATGGAATTCACTACAACAGTGTCCTGCATTGAAGAGTGGGATTGGAGTAGACTCTGAGTGGAGAATGCGAAAGTGAGAATTCATGGCCAAGAAGCAGTACAGGGTTGGTGGGAAGAAAATCACTAAGAGGGAACATGAGGGCTAAGCAGATTCTGGCTAAACCAATTGCCTGGACTGAAGACAGGACAGGGTGATGAGACAGGACCTGGGGGATGGTGGAAGAGGAGAAACCTGCTTAGATACTGAGGAGGGGGCTCTCCTAAAACTATTTTACTAGGAAGTGAACAGATGGGCTTAGGAGAAGGTACAGAACTTTGACTAAAATTTGGCCAGGCAAGACATCTTGATCCTTTGTCACATGACCCAGGGCCAGTTTTGGTAAGCAGTGTCCTTAGTTCATGAGCAGCTCCAGAACACCGTCAGAATTGGTTTACATATTTTAATGAAATTATGTTTACTTAAGTTTCTGTGTTCCACAGTGTTAGCAGTGTGATCTCTCCTGAGCTATTTGTCAGTGTGATTTCAAGACTTACTGACTGTGTAGCTCTCTGGCTTGGTTCTTTGGTCTCCTGGAGTCAGAGTGTGGAAATTTCAATTAAGACCTCAGGGCAACTTGTCTTGGTTGGAGCTGAGAGACAAATGAGAGTGCACTGAAAAATTTTATTTCCTTTGAAAATAGTTGCTTACTTTCTAATAATAGAGGCACATTCATAAAACTTTTACTAGGTGTCATAACATCCTCTAAACAAGCCTACATAAGTGATGTTGGGATACTTTCCATTTGTCTATAAAAGACATTTCTTTGGTTACTTTTGTAGCCTACAAAATTATTAGACTCAGAGATAAGACTTAAAATATTGCTTTTAGCTGGGCATGGTGGTACATGCCTGTGATTCTGTACTTTGGGAAGCTGAGGCAGGATGATCACAAATTCCAGCCCCGAGTAGCAACATAGCAAGACCCTTTCTCAAAATAAAAAAAATTAAAAGTAAACTGGGGATATAGCTTAGTGTGAATGCCCTGGATTGAATCTCCAGTACCACAAAAAAGTTCCTATTCTATATTGTTATCAAAGAAATCATACTCTGAAAAAAATTTTTAAAAATGTTCTCAGTTATGAGTTCCTTTAAATACTTGAGGCAATTTTTGTTTACTTTTTGCCTATTAATATTTGCTTATCTCTGGCTTTTTAAAAAATGTATATCTATAATTTCTCCATGATGATAAACTTTGGAGCAGATTTTTCTTTCCTCACACTTCTTTATAGTTTCATGACTTTGCAAAGTACCTTGCAGATATATATGATTAGAAGCTGAACATATGCATGTGGACTCTTATGTGTAAAGACTGGCTTTGTTCCATAGCCCAATCACTCCTGGGATTAGACGTTAATATAGTAATTAATACAAGTAATACTGTTGCCAGCGAGGCACTGTCGCTCGTGTGTATACAGTCTCTGCTGAGCTGCATTTACTGTCATTACTGATGACAGACTGATGATACTCATATAGTTCCTTTCCTTTCCATTAATCTTACCCCAGACAACATTCCTTCTCCTGTCTCCTAAAACCATTCTCTCTTTCCTCCACATCTCAAAGAACAATTTAAAATGTTTTTCTTCTGATCCAAACCCAATTCAGATCCACATAAGCCAAATGTCCTGAAGTAGAATGTATATAAAAGTTTAAGGTTGCTGGGGATTTAGCTCAGTGGTTTCGCCACCTGCTGCGCGAGTGTGAGGACTCGAGTTCGATCCCTGGTACCAAAAACAAAAAAGTTTAAGGCAGAAAATTTTCGCCCAGTATTATTTAGAAACTGTGAATGCTGTAGCTCTACAAAATGCTCAAAACACAAAAGAGATTTTGGCTGTGGTGCTACAGAAATCTGGCTTTAGAATTTTCCTTTTTTAATTTTCTCTACTGAAAATATGATTTTTATATCACATATGATTTTTATTTCCTTTGGTTCTGTGTTATAGTCTCTAAATAAGCTTCAACAAAATTATGATC